CAACAGGGCTCACGTAGAAACCGAAATACGCCCTTATGTCAGAGGAACGACAGAATATTACAGCGTTGCCCCTCTGAAATATGGGCTGCGGCCCTACAATTCTTAACCTAAGAACGACGAATGGTGTCGCATATTTGACAGTGAAGAATGATGTGCATGGTAATTTTGTGTTGTCAAATTTCAGAAATTTGGTGATATCATCAGTTGTATCCTACGAGAGCTTGCAACATTTAGAAATCTGCATGGAGAACTTAAGAAACTTTGTCTCTCAAAATTTGACTGCAAATTTGCCAAAATGACGGATTTTACCATCACCCTGCAGTGTCATATAGTCTGATTCAATCTTATAAGTTTCAATTCCGATTGAAAAAAAACCCCTCTTTTTTGGAGAAAAAGCGTATTATGAGCCATAATTTATGACGATCACACCCGCAACGATTCACAACCATAATTTCGGCCACTTCAGCGAGGTGCCGGTGCTTGCTTGCGTCATTGCGGGCCGGCGCTAGGATTGTCTCATCGATATCCCGGGAGGGGGCCGGCCATACGTTGCGTTTGGCGTGTCGGCGTGCACTTTCATTGATGCTATGACGTCATCCGAGGGAAATCCCAAGCTCTCGTCACCGGTGTTGCCGCGCACCGAGGAATCCTCGGAATCCACCGTTGATAAGCGATTTTATTCCTTTCAACCGGCAACGCCGTCCATGACGTTATCCGCCTCCGAACCGGAGCAGCGGTTCCGTTTGAGGCCGCCATCGGCGCATCCTCCATCACCCGGCGGCGTTGCCATTTTTTGACAGGTTTACATTTTTTGGCGGCAAAAATCCTCGTTTCTCGGACGAAGCGACCGTTACAATAATTAAACATTGCAAAATGCTCACTCACACATTTTATTTATCCGGAAACAATTAGGTATTTTCCGAAACATAATTTACACATTTTTCTGCGATGACTTAGAAAAATAGAAAATTGGCAAAATTTCAAACGAAAATTGCGTTTTCTTCGTGTAAAAAAGTAAAATGACCGTATTCGATAACGGTTCGATGTATCGTTTGGTTCAAAACAATAGAACTTAACCTCTAACCAAACTAAAAGGATTTAAGTTGGAAAAGCTGAAAATGAGAAAATTCCTAACAATTTCACATTACATTGGCATTTGGTACTCAAAAGAATAAAAAATCTGTTACAAAAGACCCGTACCCTCAGATTTCTGAATTTACTTTTGAGGCTATGCTTATGTTTTGAACCAATCGATATCGATACAATCTCACCCGTTCGATGTATCGAATACGATCTATGAGATTGAGATAGAGACTTGCAATTTTAAAAGTGCTTCAAGGTCAAAAGAGACTACTTTAGAGAGTCCCCCAAAATTTCAAAGGGGCGAGAACCCTACGGGTTATACAAGGATGGTGCGGGATTTTATGGATCACCCTGTAATCGGTGACGATTCTGCGAGTCGGCATTACTGTTTTTCCTCCATTTAAATCCATTAAATATATCGATTTCACGTGCATCAGGGATCGATTGTTTTCCTCACATGTAAATAGAGTATAAGCAGTGTTGCCAACTTTCAAGAGTCGCCACTACCTATATTAGACAATTTTCTAGATTAAGACAGTTACTTGGGGGAAACTCCTCCATTATTTTGTAAATAATCATAACGATAAAAGGAAATTAACTCGCGGACGGAAGTGGTGCCCTGAGAGGTTTAGCGTTGGAGTTATCCGAGAGACAATTTCGGCTGGCATTATCTATCTTGGCTGGTTGCATCGATAACCTTTCACGTAATGTTTGACCTCCTCTCGTATTATCCCAACGTTATGACCGAGTGTTTCCACGGCACAATGATCCCAAATGTAGTGTGCATCTTATTTTGGTCGATTAAGTTCTGCTGAATCTGCAAGGGATACGCCTCGAAGACCCATCTCCGGGGTAACTTAGGGCTAAAAGCTGGTGCTTCAAAGCTTTCCTGATAGATCTTCATGTTAGTGGAAAGAATATCCATCATGTCGAGAAGGTATTGATGTTTCTGTTTTTTCCACAATGCATTAATTACAATGACTTCGTTAACAAGCTGCTCAAATAATGGTGGTGACGATTCCATGCTCATTGCATGACAAAAGTAAAATGTCCATGCATGTTGCATTGAAATCATAAGATTTCCATCTAGACTGCATGGAAATGATGACATTTCCCTGCCCCGTGGAAATCACTTGAGTTCTGCGGTGCATGGCATGCAATTGATTTCCATGCGTCTTGCGTGGAAATCACCTGATTTCCCTGCAAAGTCGCATGGAACATTTTTACCAGGGAAGGGATGATCAGTAAATCATAAAATGGACTATTATTATAGCATGACTAATTCTGAGATCTCTACATCAGACGCTGTTTGTTTAAGTTGTAAAATTAATTCAAAGTGCGTAAAAACACGTCTCTTAGGGGTAAAAGGCAGTCCGCGGTGGTTGCAGAGTCAAAATTCTCATGAAATTCCTTTCAACGTAGGTATACTTTAGTAGAATTTTGGACAGAATTAACATTTTGTGCCTCCCATTGATAAATTGAACTTATTAAATGACAACCGACGACGTAGTGATTCAATGAATCACGAAAGTGGATCAATTTTTGGAATTCTCCCACGGCAAAATATGGTATGATTCTCCCCGCTGAGAAGTGACACACTAGATTCTTAACAATCTAAATTAAGCTTTAGTCTATTCTCGGCCTTGTTAATAATACTTGCGGTTCATCGAGGTTACTCTACTCACGATCGGTAAACATTTTAGACCCGCGAATTGCAAAAAAATCGGCCGGTGCGAAGTGGGAATGTTCGTTTCGGGTTCTATACGTAAACAAATTTAAAAGCTGGTCATCACTGAATGGTCGTTCAAATATTGAAAATGAAATTACGGTTTTAAAATACGAGGCTTGCGAGTGCACGGTAATGATAGTAGAGGCTAATGAGTTTGTCATGTCCTTAATTAATTTAGGATTTCCCTCGACTCCTTATAGAGATGGGGAATTTCAATGGATGAGAAATGGGTGAGTTTGCTTTGTAATTTACAGTTATGATTTCAGAAGGTGAAGAATTTCAAGGAATTCAATAGGTGCAATTCTCAGTTGGTTTCAAATTTTACTATGGAGACATTTTTTAAAATTTTCTCTAATTTTATTGGTAAAGTAGGGCAAGCAGGGCCGGAGTTAAAAAATTATTCGTGGGATGAATTCAAAGTAGTTGTGATATCTAACTAAGTATCTCACGTCCTAAAATTGGAAAGTCTCTGAGAGAACGTTCGCAAGCGCACAGACACACATACACTCAAACGAAACTGTCCGTTTTTTAGCTTCAAAATTGTCATAGATGAAAGCTTTACATATAAATTTCTGGTCATTTAAAAGAAAATCATTTAAAATCGAAACATTCCATAAAAGCTTGGGAAACAGGTGATTTTATGTAACTTGAACTTAACCCCAACACGAGTTTAACTCAAAATGACTGGCACCTCTTTTCTTTTTAAAAAAAGTGTCACATATTTCCTTCATCCGTGCTACCTTACGAATAACTCTGGAAGATTTTTATGCTAAGCATACCAATAATCCATTAATGCCATAAATTTGCCATGAAATGTCCGAGAGGCCACAAAATTATGGAAACATTTTATAGTTATTGGTTGCATAAGTCCGGCGATGGATGGCCCTATCGCAAGATTACCTTCAGCCTTCAGTTTCGCCATGTTCTGTCTGATCGAGTCATTGTTTTGTTTACGGTTTACACCATCGTGCGGGCGCTTTCAATTCCTCTCACGTGTCGTAGAGGACGCGAAACATTGGGGAGAGTGAACCGCGATAACTCGATTCAACTTGGCGGGTTTCCTAGTTTTTGCCCCGCAGTTTTTATTTACTTATTTATTCACATGCTTTCTGTAATGGTAAGGCATCGCCTCATTTTCTTCAATAATGTTGCGAAAGAGAGATTATACGGTTCGAGAACTAAGCGTCTTGTTTTGCAAGGAGGATCAAAAACAATAGGAATAATTTGGGACCAATATCGATTGTCGAGTTACTGTAAGTAATTTGGCTCTTCAAAATACCAAACAATTTGGGAAATTCGCCATTAAAATAAAAGAAATAAAGGAAGAAAAAACTGTACGAAACGCCTTGATTCTCTTTCTTTATGATCAATCGGTGTACACGCCGCTGGCAATTCGCCACTAGTGGTAAATATAAAGCTATAAAATCCGAGAAGAATGTGAAAAAAAGAGAGCACCAATGATATTGTCCTACATATAAATAAATGTTCTTTTGTTCGTGCTTCATGTTAACTACTGGCACACTCGCATGAGCGCGTAGTGAAGTCAGTTGGGTTTAGGTCGTATAGGCAACTAAACTAACTGCATGACGAAGCGTTGAGTATCAAGAGAAAATGAAGGCGTTCGGTTCTAAGCCAAGATCATTCTTTTGAAGGCCTTCATATATACTGTTAGGCTTGCGAATTGCCTGCGAAATTAAGTGTTAACCAATACAATGCTTATTTATTTACAGCTTCCTCTCCTTCCTGCCTATAGTGTTGAGCCTTAAGAAATCATTATACGATTTAGCCAAAGTTATGGGTCGAGATTTTTAGATAAAATACACTCTATATTAGCGTCAAAACTGGTGTTCGAGCAATGTCATTCATAGTGTTTAAGCTCTAAAATTCCGTAAAAGTAATAAATGACAAGAGCATTTAAAGTTTGTTAAATCAACAGTTTCAGCTTTTTAAAGGGCTGTGGGGCTGGGCCTGGGACAAAAGTTCCATTCCATGAGCATAAAATCCGTTTGAAAGTTTCAAGTGTTAACATCGATGTAGCAGAAGGAGACACCGCTTAACATACACGCTTCCTAAATAAATTCCTTAGAAAAAATGAATGTTCAAGCGCGAACTTTGAAAGCAAAAAAACAATTTTGATTGCAAGCGTAAAAAAGTCAGTCGAAGAGTAATTTGAAAGCTGGAAACTTACTTAAATACGTAATAATTCCTGACTGGCTAACAAGATTCTACACCGGGGAAAAATCTGTAAGTCACAAGATCCTTGGAGAGACACAAGTACGGTGGCACTGCACTACACGGTGGTACAATGACTGTACGGCACAAGGCACAAGTGACAAGAACTCTCACTTTTGAGGAAAGGAAAGTGGGCGCATGCGCAGAAGCAGGCGGCGCGCAACGAACTGTGAATGGAAATCCAAGTGCAGATGAAGTCGGTCCGGGCTCCGGGGTCCGCGGGCTGGAGACGAGACCTGATTGCCACGGCTGAAGCAGTCACGGTAATGCGACACCTGATTGGGATTGTGGTCTGTAATGACTCCACCGCTCCCCGAACCCCGAGCCCCGCTCCCGCGCTTAATTGCTGTCGCCGAGGCGACGCACACCGGCCAAAAACGGTAGTTTTCGAGGCCGAAAGTCAAGGACTCAAGGACTCGTCCACTCATCGAATCCTGGGAAATTGGATTCGAATCCGTGTTCTACTATTACTCCCTCAGAGGATTTTCGTGATCTGAAAGCTGATCTCAGTCAATGTTTAGCCAAAATTCTAGCCAGAGGCGGATCCAGACACTTTGAACCGGGGGGAGGGGGAAGGGCAGAAAGGGGACAGAAAGGCGGGGG